GGTTGCACTTAAAAATATCCTTGGAGCAGCAGAATTATTTTTATTAAATTTCAAAGCTTACTTGTACATTTTTAATAGTTTGCTGACATTGAAATGTGATAATTGTCATGAGGAAAGCATTGTGTGATTAAATGAGCAGCAAGGTAAACTTTTTTCATGGAACATCATTTTTGTTGGAAAGAACAGCTGATGGACAATCTACGATCACTCAGACTTAGTATTTGGCAGACATTTTTTCGAGAATGGATAAAGTGAGCCTGTCACTTCAAGGAAAACAACTGACGGTATTTGTTGGCCATTAAAAATTTTTGAGCTTCTGAATGAAAATTGGAATTTTTGAAATTTTGTATTTGTCACTGTGAACTTGAGCCTCTCCAGTACCTAGAAGCTTTTCTAATGAGATTGGTGGTGACATTAACGAATGTGATTTTTTTTTTTTTTTTCGAGACAGGGTCTCACTCTGTCACCCAGGCTGAAGTTCAATGCCATGATCATAGCTCACTGCAGACTCGATCTCTCTCCCACAATCAAGCAATCCTTCTCCTACCTCAGCCTCCCAAGTAGCTGGGACTACAGGCACACACCACCACACCCAGCTAATTTTTCAATTTTTTGTAGAGACAAGGTCTCACTATGTCACCCAGGCTGGTCTTGAACTCCTGGATTCAAGCAATCCTCCCACCTCGGCCTCCTAAAGTACTGAGATCACAGGTGTGAGCCACCACACCTGGCCTAATGAATGTGATTTTTAACCGTTACGTATGTAATTGTTCAACCAGTGAACCAGTATTTTCCAAGTGACCAATGCATGGCGTTACAAAACCATGCATGGGTAACAGATCTGTTCAAAGGGCAAAAGAGACCAGTGGATTTTCATTTAACGGTACGAAAAGGTCTCTGATACGGTCTCAGATTCCACACTGCAACTCACCTTTCAGAAACTACCACTTGTCAAATGTTGATGTAATATCAAAGAAGAATATCCACAATTTTTTGAAAAGACTCTTCAAATGCTCCCTCCTTCCCCAGCTGCATAGCTGTGTGAGGCTGGATAATCATACGCTCCGAAACATTTTGCCACGGATTGAGCGTAGATGCGGATTTGCTTCTGGAAAGCCACGCATGAAAGATATTTGCAAAACTATTTTGTAAAGTACCACTCTTCTCCCTATTCCTTGTCTTGGAAAATAGTTATTTTTCATTTAAAAATGTTGTTTTTCTTTAACTTGTATTTTCAGTTGAGGGGCACAAGTGCAGGTTTGCTGTATAGGTAAACTTGCATCTTGGGAGTTTGTTGTAAAGATTATTTCATCACCCAAGTATTACTGGCTAGTACCATTAGCCATTTTTGCTGATCCTCTCACTCCTCCCATCCTCCACCCTCCAGTAAGACCCAGTGTGTGTTGGTCCCCTCTGTGTGTCCATGTGTTTTCATCATTTAACTCCCACTTGTGAGAACATGCAGTATCTGGTTTTCTGTTCCTGCATTAGTTTGAAAGAATAATGGCCCCCAGCTCCATCCATGTCCCTGCAAAGGACATGATCTCGTTCTTTCTTATGGCTGCATAGTATTCCATGGTGTATTTGTACCACACTTTCTTTATCCAGTCTATCTTTGATGGGTGTTTAGGTTAATTCCATGACTCTGTTATCATGAATACTGCTGCAATGAACATACGTGTGCATGTGTCTTTATAACAAAGCAATTTATATTCCTTTGGGTACGTTCCCAGTAATAAAATTGCTGAAAAATATGTTTTTATGTGAACAAGTAATGGGTTTATTTCTATTAAGTTATAAATATATAAAAATATACTTAAATATTTAAATATTTATCGGTTTTAGTTGTGAACACAGTAAATATTGATATATTTATATACCCCACATAAACACGAGCCCTTTGGAGTCCCCAATAATTTTTAAATGTTTTAATGGGTCCTGAGACCAAAATAATATCTATTCTGTAGGGAAAGGAGTTGCTATATTGGGGTGAGAGGCTGCAGGGAGAGAGTTAAACAGAAAATAGAAAACATTCCCTCCGTCACAGTTTCCCAACCAGCGAGTTGCAACAGTCTGGCCCATCATGAGGCGGTCCTGTGAGTCACTGTGCACTAAGCAACGTTGTCTAAAATCCTGAGTCCTCTTTTTTTCCTGTTTTTTTGTTTGTTTGGTTTTGGTTTTTTGTTTTTTTTTTTTTTTGAGACAGAGTCTCGCTCTGTCGCCCAGGCTGGAGTGCAGTGGCCGGATCTCAGCTCACTGCAAGCTCCGCCTCCCGGGTTTACGCCATTCTCCTGCCTCAGCCTCCCGAGTAGCTGGGACTACAGGCGCCCGCCACCTCGCCCGGCTAGTTTTTTGTATTTTTTTTAGTAGAGACAGGGTTTCACTGTGTTAGCCAGGATGGTCTCGATCTCCTGACCTCGTGATCCTCCCGTCTCGGCCTCCCAAAGTGCTGGGATTACAGGCTTGAGCCACCGCGCCCAGCCTGTTTTGGTTTTTTTTTCTGAGATGGGGTCTTGCTCTGTCTCCCAGGCTGGAGTGCAGTTGCACAATCTTGGCTCACTGCAACCCCCACCTCCCTGGTTCAAGCGATTCTCCTGCCTCAGCCTCCTGAGTAGCTGGGATTACAGGCACCAGCCACCATGCTTGGCTAACTGTTGTACTTTTAGTAGAGGTTTCACCACATTGGCCAGGCTGGTCTCGAACTCCTGACCTCAAGTGATCCACCCGCCTTGGCCTCCCAAAGTGGTGGGATTATGGGCGTGAGCCACTGCGCCTGGCACTAAATCTTCTTTCAATGTGCCTGTTTTTAGAAAGACATTTAGGTAAAAGCTAATGTTTGAGCCATAGAGCCATGACCCAGAAACCAGCAGGTACCTCTTGGCCTCTCATCCTGGTCCTTGGTCAAGTGGGCAGGAGGTATGAACGTATTCCTGTCCTTGTCTATCAGGGCACTGTCTCAGGGCACCGTCTCGGGCTCTCCAGGAGACTGTGTCGGCCACATGCCAGTGTCCCTCGGTGCTCCTGCCTCCTGTGACTGCCACTGTATTCCTTCATGAAGATATCCCTCCAGTCCCTGGGCAGGTAAAGTAGAAGAAAAATGCCTCCTAGAAGCCTCTTTCCACTAGATTGTCACTCTGGCAGTCAAATAGGGGGTGTGCTTATTGGTTATTAATTATTCTACTTTTTTATACATAATAATAGCTATCACCACAGTCTCATATCTCTGAGAGATATAAAGTTGACCATATTACCAGGCCCTCCACATTACCTAACCTCAGAGAAAGAGAAAGAATATTGGGAGTTTAGTAAGGTATGGAATATTTTTTATCAGGGATGGTTTTTGAATCTTCAGTCATTTCCCCTAATAATAGAAATGATATATGGCAAATGTAAAACATTTTTAAATGGGCAAAGATACTATATTTATAAGAAAAGTAAAAACACTTATAATCCTATTATCCAAAGTATCCACTATTAAGAGTTTGGTACATGATTATCTGGGCTTTTCTTCTGTGAATGTATCGAAATAAACATATACAAATGTTTAATACATGAAATCGTATCACACATACAGTTTTCTATCTGCTTTTAAAAAATTTTCCATGGAGACCTTTCCATCACTATATCCTCATCCTCATTTTAAAGGCTGTGTGTTATTTCACGGTGCGGAGGAAAGTCTTTTAAAGACTGTGTGTTATTTCACGGTGTGGAGGAAAGTTCAGGTATTTGTTACTCACCTGCTATTGTTGGATATTCGGGTGCTCTAGAGTGGAGATATTTAAATATTTTTAAAGTGCTTTTGGGATGTGAATTCTAATACTCAGGCATCAGGCACCAGTGTACAATCAAAAGCCCCTCTCGGAAGGTGACAGAAGGTCCCCATGACCCAGAATTAGCTCCAAGAAAACCCAAAATGAAAAACGGACCTTGATCCCCAGCTGAATTTTTCACAGGGTGACCTTGAGCAAGCTGTGTGTGCAGCCTAGCCTTTGCTGGGTCTCCCCACCACGAAAGAGCTCTCCAGAATATTCTAGGAGGGGTGGGACTCCCAGGAACAAAGCACACGCTCTTTCTTGCACAGCCCCCCGTGGACAAAGCTGTAACCTGGGCCCAGGGTACGCTCCCAGCCTGCAAATGGAGATGCTGTCTCATTATTCTCTCTAAATTTAAACTTTATTATCAGCCCCTCTCCTACCCCAGGGAGTCCTGGCCAGCCCATCTCCCCACTCCCCTAGAGCTGTTGGGGTGTGAGGTCTCAGGCAAGGCCGAACATTCTGGGGCAGGGAAAGAAGAGGAGGGTGGGCCCTGGTTACCAAACTGTTGCCCACACACGTGGCTTCCAAGATGCCCATGACCTCGTTCCCTCCACCCACTGCTGGGCCCAGGGCTCTTGGCCAAGACTGTCTGTGGCCGCCATATCCCTGAGCCCTGCTGCTCTGGGTCCACAAACTTCTCTTCTAAAGGAAAAGATTCCATGGAGATGGAAGGATTCTTCAACCTTCCTGCTTCCTCCTGCCCAAACCCTCAGGACCCAGGCTTTGTGGGTGCCTTCAGGCAGGAAGGAAGGTGTCTTGCAGGTGGCTTCGATTTTCCCCCTACCACAGACCCCTCCAGACCGGAAGGACAGACTTGCCTCTACCTGAGTAGAGAAGGGAAGGAAATCCAGAGAGAAAAAAAATGAATATCCAAGCCCTTCTCCTGCCATAGTCTCTCCCCGGCAAGTCCAGGTCCTCAAAAGGACACTTTCTTTCCCATTCAGGTCCCTGCCCCACCCCCACACACCCAGCAAAAAACAGAGTGGGCCCCATGTTTCCCCCCCAGTGCGGATTTCCTGCATTCCCACAGGTGAGGCGCCTGCTCCTGCCTCTTTGGGGGTCATGTCCCCAGGCCCCCTGGGAGTAGGAGCCGAGTCTATGCTGTAAACACCTACCATCCCCCCGAGCGGGTCTCCTCCTGGAGAGGCCCTCTCCTCAGCCCCAGCTCCGTGCTCCCTGGAGCTCCTGGGGCACTGCGGACCAGACCATGAAGTGGGACTTCCTGACTGAGCCCTTCAAGGGCTCCTTTGTCTCTCCTCTTCGTCCCCTCCCTCACGGGCCTGCAGCCCCACTGACCATCTGCCAGCCCTTGGCCCCGCCATGCCCACTACAGCCTAGACGGCTGCTTCTCAGCAGAGGGTCTGTCCTTGACCAGGCCGAAAGGTGACCTCGGGGTCCTGTCCATCACCACCTTGTATGTCTGTCAGCATTTATCAATAATCCCTAGTTACCTTGTTTGCATTCCTCGATTAGTTTACCTGCGAACTAGCTGTCTTGCTAGTTAACTTCACGAGAACTGGGGCTGGCTTGCCGGTCCCACTGTGTTCCCAGCTTCCAGAGTGACACTGCACATAGTAGGCACTCAGTAAATATCTGTGAAAGGGTGGATGAGTGAATGGGTTGGAGGAAATCCCTCCCTATTCATGTCCATTCTGAAGATAAGAAAACTCCCTGCTTCTACCTGAAGGAAAAACCTTCCTCCTCCAAAAACCCTCAGGTGCTATAGAAGGCTTTAGAAACTAAAGGCAAGGAAGTTTCTTCCATCTGCCTTTCATCCTGCAAAAAGCCCTCCACTCAAGGGAAGAAAGGGCCCTGGAGTTAATTGAGTGGGAGACAGGGGGCAGGTGGGAGATCGGGAGGGAGGAGAGAAAGGGAAATTCAGGAGGATGGAGTCCAGCGTGGATTGCTCCAAGCTTGCCCACCACGCCCTGACTGCAGGTGTGATTCCGGGGCCCCTATGGCTCTGCTGGGTCCGGGTGCAGGCAGGCACAGAGGTGCTGGCGTCAGCTCAATTCGCAGGCCCTGGACTCCTGTCTAAACAGGACAGGCCCGGGCAACCGCAGGGCAGGGGCGTCTGCCAATGATGGGGGAGGACTCTGCTGCTTCTTAAGCTCCAGCGACTCAAGCCAGGGCGAGACAGCCCGCCGGCCGCCGGATCTCCACCTGCCACCCCAGAGCTGGGACAGCAGCCGGGCTCCGGCACTGGGAGGGAGACCCCGCCGTGGCCTCTTCTGCCACCCACGCCCCCACCCCTGGGATGGCCGACCAGCTGACAGAGGAGCAGATCACAGAATTCAAGGAGGCCTTCTCCCTGTTTGACAAGGACGGGGACGGCTGCATCACCACCCGCGAGCTGGGCACGGTCATGCGGTCCCTGGGCCAGAACCCCACGGAGGCCGAGCTGCGGGACATGATGAGCGAGATCGACCGGGACGGCAACGGCACCGTGGACTTCCCCGAGTTCCTGGGCATGATGGCCAGGAAGATGAAGGACACAGACAACGAGGAGGAGATCCGCGAGGCCTTCCGCGTGTTCGACAAGGACGGCAACGGCTTCGTCAGCGCCGCGGAGCTGCGCCACGTCATGACCCGGCTGGGGGAGAAGCTGAGCGACGAGGAGGTGGACGAGATGATCCGGGCCGCGGACACGGATGGAGACGGACAGGTGAACTACGAGGAGTTTGTCCGTGTGCTGGTGTCCAAGTGAGGCCGGCGCCCACCATGCTCCTGGGCGCCCGCTCGGCCCGCAGGGCAAGAACCCGGGGCCTCTAGCCTCCTCCTCCATCCCCGCTGCCTCCCCAGGGCACGGGGGCGTCTTCCTGGGCCTGGTTGATTCCGCCCACCTCTCTGCATCCCACTTCCCGCATCTCTTCTCTGCTCTCCTGCCCACCTTCCCACCTGCTCATCTGAATGACATGGAACTCTCCCGCTCCAAGCAAACCGTGGAACCCTCCCCACTCGGGGGAAGCAGAGCTGACCTTAGGACCAAGCACCAGGGCAGGTTGCGCTGACTCTGTGGCCAGTCAGGATGGACACAGGGTGACCCCTTAGAGTCCCCAGGCAAGATCCCTAACAGGCACCCAATGCCCAGGCCAGGGCGGCTGCAGCCCTCAGCCCACGCCAGGATTCCCGGAGGCTCCTGGACTGGAGGCTCCCTCCGCAGTCGGATTCTGGAGGGTGGGAGGCCTCTTGGCCTGCGGTAAGGGGTGCTGATGGGGACTATGGCCACAGAGGTTAGGCCTCCTGAAAACAGCACTGCCTTCCACGCTGCCCCAGCTTGCCCCTTTCCTTGTCGGCCAACCCACCGTGATTCATCCTCTGAAGCTGGGAGTGAAACCGGGTCAGCTGTAACCTGTTCCTATTCATCTGGAAGGAGGGAGGCTTGGATGAGCAGGGAAGGGGAGCTGCAGGGAATTAAACGAGATATTCGTTCTTATTTCATTTCCTTTTTTCTGGTTCCCATGGTAATGATCCTTGTTACATTCAGGGTTGAAACGAGGCAGGAATCTGCTTTTTGAAAATGCAATGAATTCCTTTGGTGGGGTGCGGTGCCTCAGAGAGAGAGAAGTCTGGATGAGGGAAATCTTGAATATTCTCAATCAAATGGATATGCTGGCAGCAAAGAGTGGCTAAAAGTCCATCAGGACTTGAAAGACCTGAGTCCATTATGTTGAGAAGGGACCTGCTGATTGTTTTTATTCCCCGTGGCAAGTGCTCCCTGGTTGTGAAGTGCCAGGCACTAGAAGATGGTGGGGGGCACGCTGGGCACACACACAGGGTAAGAGCCATTCAGAGGTGTTAGTCCTGCCCTAGCCCTGCAAGCGGCCGGCAACACCCAGAGAAGGTCAAAGGGGCCCTGCCAGAGTTCCCTTCAGCTCTAAAGGGGGTGTGTTTTGCAGGATGGGCCCTAGACGGAGCTCATCAGAAAAGGCCATGGTGGATGCATCCTCTCTCCCCGACACCCACCCCCGCCCACCACCACCCAGTGTTTCCTCCTTTGTAAAACACAGAACTGGGCCCCAGCCCCGGCCTTGCCATCATCACTGTGCCACTGGGACCTCCAGGACGACAGGACACTCGTGCCACATGCTTGGGCTCAGGGCACCATCAAGCACTTGGCCTGCATAGACACTTGGCACCTCCCTGTGGGGCAGCCACCATTATTACCTTCCTCATCTTACAAACAACGAAGTGGAGACACAGAGGGATTCAGAAAGCAGCCCTGGGTCCCGCCAGTGGGTAAGAGGCAGACCTGGGATTTCCGTCAGGCCTGTGCCCCGACCACTCAGCTACAGACCCACCACCAACCTGTGCCCCCACCATGGTGATTACACTAGTGCCTCCCTCCAGCACTTGTGAGGAGCCAGAGCAACATTCTTAACACACCTGGCAGGTAGTAGGCGCTTCATAAATGACAGCTACTATTACTATCACCTTAAAGATCCCTTCCTGCTCTAATACTGCAAGGCTTTCTGGGGCAACCGCCCCTCTCCATAGCTGGAGAACAAAACAAGAGCAGAAAGGGGCAGAAGCAGGTGCCCTGGGGCTGGATTCCTGAAGGGATGCTGGATGGTGGGGTCTCAGGTGAGCACTGGCCCAGGGCAGGTGTAACTGCAGGTACTCCTGTCAGGGGAACAGAAGCAGAGGGCAAGCTAAGGCTCAGCTTGCTGAGCAAATCCCCACCCCTCCCTGCCACTCTCAGGAGTTGGGGTTGATTGGATACATCCTGGGGAAGATTTGGGAACAAGCCTCATAAACCCTTGGACAGGGTGTCTAGTGGTCATTGGGCAGCAGCTCCCCAGGGGGTGGGGGCTGTGAGCAGGAGGGGCAGGAAGAAGCCCCCACATGGCTACTGACCACCGACCAAAAGGAACAGGACATCAGACCTGAGCACCTTTTGTAGAATGTCTTCTAAATTCTGCAGGAAGGAGAGAAGCCGAGGTCTCCCTGCACAGGGCATCTTTGTAGTCACTGTCATACACATGGCTGAGATTTGACATCGAAGCCCCCTCTTCCAGGTGCAGGCTTGAGGAAACTCTTACAAGGGTTGGGACCTAGGCACTGCCAATGCCTAGGCTAGGAGGGCACGCCAGTGTCTTTATTTGTTTTCCTCCCAGGCTCCCAGCGATTCCGCCAGGGCAGGTCTTTTTGCAACCCCACACGCCAGTCATTCTGGAGCCACCTGCGCCTGGATTTTGCGGGTGCTGGGAGCCTTTCATCAAGAGCTCTTTGTGCTCAGGCAGGCGCTGGCTTGGGTGGTGGAAAGGTCCTACCTACTCTCAGCTTAGAGCTGGCAGCCCCAGATCCTCTCTGAGGGGGAGTCCTCAGAAGCAGAGTAGTAAATGGAGGTGTCTTCTTTATACAGACAGAAGCCCAAGGCAGCAAAGTCAAAGTGGGTCCTGTGGCAAACCCCTCCTCCTTGGTGTTCAAACACTTTTTTTTTTTTTTTTTCGAGATAGGATCTTGCTCTGTCGCTCAGGCTGGAGTGCAGTGGTGCAATCACAGCTCACTGCAGCCTCAACCTCCCAAGCTCAAGTGATGGTCCCATCTTGACCTCCTGAGCTCAACTGATCAGCCTACCTCAACCCCTAGAGTAGCTGGGACTGACGTGTGCCACCATGACCCACTAATTAAAAAACAAAAAATTGCAGGGGGTGGTCTTTATGTTGCCCAGTCTTGCCCCAACTCCTGGCCTGAAGTGATTCTCCTGCCTTGGCCTCCCAAAGTGCTGGGATTACAGGCATGAGCCACTGTGCCCGGCCTTGAATATGATTGTTCAGTAACATCTTCTGTCATCCCTTCTCCTTGAAACTGGGTCACTGCCCTCACCACAGTGAGTGTTGCCTGCTGCCGCATGGCTCCGCCTCCTCCCAACTTTCTGTGTTGGGGTAAGGAAGGCCAGGCCAGAGGGGGACTCAGCCCTGACAATGCTCTCTGGCACTGCCCCTTCTGCCTCAAGGGTTATGACGCCCAGGGAATTCCCTGCCCTCACCAGTGGACCCCAAACCCACAGTGTGGATGCGTCTCTCACCAAGCTAGCATTGCTGACCTCCACAGCATGGCATCAGCTACTCTACCCAATTTACCCATGGCAGCGACTGTGTCCTCTCACACAACAGCCTCAGATTCCAGGTCTACCTGGGGCACTCCTGGGCCTGGCTTTAGCTTCCTCTCCATCTCCCTTTATATTATTTTCCCTTCTTTTTTCCCACCCTGGTCAGCACTTCCAAAGAGCCTGCCCCGAACCCAGATGTCAAGGTGAACTTTTGTGTTGGTAAAATGTGGTCACTCCAGCTGCCAGGGCTGGGTGCTTGCCTGTTGGACATGGGCAAGGGGAGGCCTGGGGGCTGGAGCAGGAGGAAGGAGCCACCCAAAAGGGCATACAGGGCTCCCCATAGGAACCCAGCCCTGCGGGTGGAGCTTTCTTCCGCCCTGTGTTCTTCTGCGGCAGAGACTTAGAGGCAGTTGCCCAACTGGCATCTCCCTTTCCTTTCAGTCATTGAATAACTGGATTTAAACAACCTGCCCTCATCCCCCAAAAAGGTGCAATCTGACTGCAGCTCAAAAGAACATTCCAGCCATCCTAGGGGAAAGGAATTTATAAATATTACCTTGGCTTCCATGTGCTTTCACTGAGCTCCCTCATAAATCAGGACTTGGGGCTCCTGCACTCCCAGACTATATAAAGTTCGCCTCTGACTCCCGTGTTTCCAATTTTAAATCAAATGCAGCCCAGCCCTGCCGGCTCCTGTTTATCCTCAAAGATTCCAAGGGCCTGTTCAAAGGCTCCCAGAACCACCCAGCTAAAAATGACTTCCGCTAGAGAAATGTAGTATCAAAACTCGTGTATGGGGTGAGACTGCTCCATGGAGAATGGTAGCAATGGGGAATATGAGTTGTGTCTCTCCACCAAAAAACAAAGGTACATAAAGTAAGAAAAAAACCAAAACCACCTCTGAGAAAGGTCTGGCCCCAAACCATGTGTCAACCTCCTCACCATCTTGCTTTTCTGGTGGTTGTTTCCATAGCAACAGGTTCTCAGATCGGAGTCTGGACTGGGCAAGAAAGGGAAGTGCCTGGGAAAGGCCTCCTCTGAGCGCTTTCTAACAGGGACAAGGCTGGGTGCTGAGTACTGGGTGGGACAAACACCTTCCTCAAAGTGCAGGGAAGTGAGAAGCTTGAAACAGGCCTAGAAACAATGGCTGGGTTTCCATAACAATGGCAGGGTTTCCATAATCAGAGGAGAAAGTACCTATTGGAACAATAACAGAAGGAACCACACACAGTCCCGTAAACACCTTCTTTAGGTCTTTCATGTCTTTGCAGTGTGTGCAGAACTACCTGGGAGGGAAAAAGAGCCAGGCTCTTAGCACATAAGGAGATGAACATCTGAAGGGTGAACATCAGGTGGGCCTAGGCCTCGGAGAGCCAACTGGGTGGCCCTGCACACCTTGGGGAGCTGAACATCCAGGGAGTGACTTCCTGAAGACTGACCACATGCTGGCCCATGGTGAAGTTCATCTCCCCTCATCACTAAACAAACCAGTCTCGCCTATAGCTCACTGCATACCTGGAGACTCTGGTCTGAAGGCCCCCCACGATAGAAGCTCAGCCCTCACTGGGGCACACTGTTGGGAGGCACCTGTCTTGCATTTCATTGCTCCTTTAATCCTCTGAACAAGTCAGTGCAGTAGCTTGTTTTAGCCTGTTGCAGAGAAGAAAAGATTAAGACTTTGAGACTTTGAATAACTTCTCCAAGGCAGTATATCTAGTGTATCACAGTTTGACCCTGGGTCCGACCAGCCCCAAAGCTTGCACCCTTCCCACTGTGCCAGAGAGGAGTTCTCAGAGCAAGGAGCCTGAGACCGAGAGGCGCTGAGCTCACAGAGGCAGTGAGTGCTGGACAGACCTCGGTAGCAAAGGCTTGGAAGTGGGAAACAGCTGTCAGGCAAGATTTGTCTGGGCAGAGAGGACCTAGAGAAAAGAAAAGGCATTGATCGATGCCAGGAACATCCAGGAGCCACAGGACCCATCGTGTCTGGGTGTGGGCATCTGTAGAGGGAGTGCTGGTGGACTGCCCACTTGCCACGTGAAACATGATGTCTCACTGCCCCTCTGGCCCACCACTGGACCCCGTGCAGGTGCTGGGGCCTGTGCAGTCCCAGCAAACAAGAGGGAATCCTGCAGTGGGCACATCTTTGAGATCCCAGTCCGCTCCCTGCCCCGCACAGGTGCATCTGTCTGCAGCCAAAGTCCTGCACAAACCTTCGCCATTCATTATTGCAGAGCAGCTGGGAGGTGTCGAGCTTCTCAGCTTCTCACCCAAGCTCACATCTTTGGGTGCAGATGATGGACAGTCAGAAAAAGCCACATGACCCTATTATGGTTGAATTGTGTCCCCCCACCTCCAAAACCTCATATGTTGAAGTCCTCCCCACCAG